CTCCTTGTTCTTGAGCTACAATTGGTTGCTAAAAATTTACAAATTTTTGACTCTTTGTTTTTTCTTGGCAATCATAAGATTAGTACAACGATTGATACTTGTTCTGCGTCTCACTTTTCCTGACTCAGTCTGTCAGTTTCAATGTCTCTTTTATTTCTCTTTTAACTTTTTTAGTGTTACTGATTTGGTAACTGACTGGAAGAAACGGGAAATGTTGACAGATTATATCTTCTTTTTTTTTTTTTTTTTTTTTTTTTTTTTTTTTCTGAAATTGGGTTCTTTAACTAGTTTCTGTTCATACGAGTTTTAAACTTGGAAACAAAGCGGACTTTGAAGTTTGTCATGGGTCTTTAAAGTTCAAGCTACTGTTCTTGCTGTTTTAGCTCATTGGGTAATTACAAGGAAAAAAATGGTCAGTTATGGTTTTCTTGCTAAATGTATTTGGACTAACTCAATACTTTCCCCTAGCTCTTTTTCTACGAAAAAACTTTTCTCTAGCTCTTTCTCGTTGCTAGTTGGATTAGTGGGTTTTAGCTCGATGGCAGTGTAGGTGAAGGGATTCTCAAATTGAGCTTTGTTTCTTTACGAAATTTTCAGGCTGGTTTGCTGAAAATTTACATTTTTAGCCATTTTAATTCTAGCTGTTGGAGAAAATTGACATTTGCATGTCCTGGTTATGTGGCCAGTTAGGAGAAAGAACTTTTTTTTTTGGAACGAATAGGAGGAGTTCCAGCTATTTGGATAGAATCTGTTTCACTGCCCAATTATAGTTCACTCTCCATTAGTTCAGTTTCTTTGTCCAAAATTTAGAAAACCCAACCCCGCTTGTTACACTTTCATGCAAGAGAAGAGGACGGATATGAAGGTAAAAACTTATGTATTAACTACGGCATTACTACTATGAGATTTTCAATCTATAGCTAGGAGAATGGTTGGAATCCAAAGCCCTTGTTCTGTATGCTATTATTTGTAAAGGTCATTGCTTAGATAACTAAGATGTGCCACGATGGTTGAAATAGATTGTGACTGATGGATACTGTGTAAGAAGGAACCTGGTCATTCATGAAACTAGACGGAATTTATTTTCATCTTGCCAATCTATTTGGTTTACGTTGCATAATCTAGTTTTCCTTGCTTCCTTGGTGGTTGGGTAGTGAGGTGTTGAGCCTTACTCTTGAAAGTTGTGGGGTCATTTTGTATATCAAAGTCACTGTAGTAGACAATGATGCATGTATGGAGACCATGTAGCGGCAGAATTTCTAGAATCTTACCACAAACAGGTAGATTAGATAATTTGAATGGGGCTGGATAGAATAACTGTAGTTGAACAAAGAAGTGATGATTGGTCTAAAAGAGGGTGAGCATTGAGCAGGGTAGTCTTTTTTACAAAGGTTACTGTAATTTTAATACAATAGTTTAAAAATAATATTGTTAATATAATAGTTCTAAATATATTGGTGTAGTAATTCTAACCTTTTATTTTAATAAAAATTATTAATGTAGGAAGCACAAATCATGGTTGTGACCCTTCTAGCAACAACCATGCTTTCTACTGGTAAAATGACTGATGTTTGTCGTGAAATCAACAACACTAGTCACGTGATTTGCGTTTGGTGCATCACATAACTATTGTTGAACAACCACTGCCAGTCATGCGACTATCACTTGGCATGAGCGGTGTGCAATGTCTGCTGGCATTAGCTAGATGTGATCGGTTTTGGTCGCATCTGGAGGCCATCCCAGGTTGAGCACGAGGCCATTCATTGTACAACCATACCAGACCTGGCCTGATAGGCCAATCTGGTGTGTTTCCGGCCA